GCACCACCTCGGTGGGCAGCCCCTCAGCCTCCGCTCTGCACTGCAGCCTTGTTCTGCGACTACTACAACCTGCATGGAGAGTGCCAGTGGCACTATGAGCCCTGTGGGGCCCCCTGCCTGAGAACCTGCCGGAATCCAAGCGGGCACTGCCTCATGGACCTGCCTGGCCTAGAAGGTAAGGGCAGACTGTCCTGGGAGAAGCCGTCTCTCTGCCAAGTCTTGTGAGCAGGCACAGGCAACAGGGGTGCGTGTGGGGTCCCCTTACCTGCCCGCTGCATGCCTGAAGGCAGGCCCAGGCACCCTCAAGGGGCCTCTGTGGCACAGCGGTCTCCCTGGCCATCACCTGACCTAAGAGGGCTGAAGGTCTTCTCTCCCACTGTGCCTACCCCAGGCTGCTACCCAAAGTGCCCGCCCAGCAAGCCCTTCTTCAGCGAGGACCAGATGAAATGTGTGGCCCAGTGCGGCTGTTACGATGAGGATGGGAACTACTACGATGTTGGGGTGAGGGTCCCCGCAGCGGAGAACTGCCAGCACTGGTGAGTGGGGTTGGGGAGTGGGGCAGGGCTGGAGAGCCAGGACAGGGGAATGGAGCTGGGGGCAGGCAGCACGGTGGCCCGCCAGGCCCTCAGCTCCTCTCTCTCTCCTCCCAGTAACTGTACCCCCGGCGGCCTTCAGTGCACTCACAGCCTCCAGGGTAAGGAAGGGCCAGGTGGGTTTGAAGCGGGGATGGAGGCTGGGAGGCCCCACGTGAGCTGGGTGCCTGCTGTCCCCCAGCCTGCACGTGCACCTACGAGGGTAGGACTTACGGCTATGACGATGTCATCTACAACACCACTGACGGGCTCGGCGCCTGCCTGGTTGCCATCTGCCGAGACAACGGGACAATAATCCGGGAGACTGTGGAATGCCCTGGAATCCCTTCCACGACGCCGTTCACCTTCACCAGCACCTTGGCCCCTCTCTCCACCACGGGTAAGTGTTACCAGCTCTCCTGAGGCTGGCTGTGCCCGACA